TGTACAGCAGGCCAAAAGGTATCACGTTGGACGCAGCTGCCATCAGACCCAACAGTCTCTGAAACTGTTTGACAGTAAGTGACTGGCCTTCTCTCACTCCCCTCACGTCTGTGAGAATCGCTTCTATACGAGCAGGAGACAACTGTGCCTGCCTGCATCGTTGTTGAATCTCACACCACGCCCAGATAAGTGGTCCTCTGTAGTGGAGAAAGCACACTTTTCTTGGCGTTCAGCTGTAACCCCAGCTGAGCTAAAAAACTGAGCTAAAATCAACCAGTCGTCGATGTAATTCAGTATGAGGATGCCCTGGAGTCACAGAGGAGCCAGCGCCACATCCACACACTTCGTGAAAGTGCGGGGTGAGAGTGATAGACCGAACGGTAGAACCCGATATTGGTATGCTTCGCCCCCGAAAGCAAACCTCAGGAACTTCCTGTGTTGAGGAAGGATGGATACATGGAAATATGAGTCCTTGAGATCTATTGTGACAAACCAGTCCTCGGACCTGATTTGAGACACAATCTGTTTGATCGTAAGCATCTTGAACCGAAATCGATTGATAGCACGGTTTAGTAGATGCAGATCTATGATCGGACACAACCCCCCATCCTTCTTCGGAACGATGAATTAACGGCTGTAGAAACAAGAGAGAGTTTACTTCCTGTTCCAATACCTGAGAGCCTGCTCGGGGCCCACTAATGTAGGAATAACCCCATTGAAGCGAGGTGGACGAGACTGGCGTCTGGTGTTACTAGAGGAGCCACTTCGGTGCCCTGAAGCGGTTGACCTGGCAGGGAACAACCGATCTAGGCTCTCTAGCACCCTCATCTGAGGGGGCGAGCTCTCCCGTGCCGTACCGTCACCGGGCGGCAGCTGGGAATTTTGCTCGCGGGAGCCTACTGAGCCCTGAAGCACCGGGGGTGGCAGGGGTATAAGTAAGTCTCCCCGAGGGCACTGAGGAGGATTCCTTATCTTGTAACTTGGACAGATTCAACCACAGGTGTCGCTCCGTGGCCACGAGAGCTGCCATGGAACGGCCAATGGCTCTGGCTGTTTCCTTGGTGGCCCGAAGCGACAAATCTGTGGCCCGACGCAGTTCGGCGACTGCGTCGGATTCCTCTCCCTCCCTAGTGTTCAGGTCTTTTAGCAGGTCGGCCTGGTACACCTGCAACACCACCATAGTGTGCAGACACGCACCGGCCTGACCTGCCGCCATATACGTTTTCCCAACCAGGCTGGATGTCAGTCTTACTGGCCTAGTGGGAAGCTTCGGGGCCTTCAGGGACGATGCTGAGGACGGGGACAGATAGCTCTCGAGCGTCTGTTCCACCGCCGGCATCGCCCCATATCCCTTCTCATTCAGCCCTGTGATGTTAGAGTAATTAGATACTGTGGGGCTGAAGAGTCGGGACGAATATGGTTTATCCCACAATCTCGAAAGCTCAGAATGGAGATCGGGGAAAAAAGGAAGGCCCCGACGTGAAGGTTGCGATCTAGCTTTAAGGAAGCGCTCGTCCATCTTGCTCTTGGGATGAGCGTCCTGTTTCTCGGCTGGCCATTCAATGTTCAGTTTAGCTACAGCACGAGTCACAACCTCCACGAGCTCCTCATACGCGAGGGAATGCGGTGGCGAGTCCACAGTCTCCTCCGTGTCGACGCTCATCACATCAACCTCCTTGGAGGAAGATAGATGAAGCGCCTGGCCCTCTCTCTGGGGGGAAGAAACCGTGGGGCGGGCTTCCGATCCCTGAGAGAGGGCCATGGATCTAGCGGGTGAGGACCGAGATAAGGTCGATAAGGTCTAAATTCACTTGCGATCCCCGTGATAACCCAGCAGGATCGCGAACCTGGCCACTTTCATCGAAGACGGCCAGGCGGGAGCGAAGAACACGGAGCGGGAGAAGCTCACAATCATGGCAGGCAGCACCCTTGAGAGCTGCCCGTGCATGCTCCACTCCCAAACAGACGACGCACAAATCGTGTGTATCCCCACCCAAGATACACGACTTGGAAACGCCGTTCGCTCGCCACATTTGATTTAGATTTACACTTTGGCATTTTTCTCACTTGCTATACAGAGTTTTACTGACTGACTGAGTGCTTTGCATACATTCACACACACACCACAGACGCGCTCGTTGAAGAGCAAAAGCTAACATGTGTGTTTGCCGGATGCGCCTTTATGCTTCCTGGTTGCTCACGTCACCCCGCTCGTGACGTCTCGCTTCGCTATTGGACTGATTTCACTCATGCTTCAGTACGGTGTCTCGCCGGGGGCGTTCCCAAAGCATTCGAAGCAGCTCGAGTTCCTGAAGGGGAACTTTGTTTCATTTTTAACTTTCTCCTCAATGTTATTTTCA